CTAACTTCCCATATTGAGCTATGTCCAACCCAAGAACTACAAACACAGTGCTGTTTGCTGTGTGCTGTACAGACTGCTCCTCCTTACTTTGGATAGGCATAGTTTCTTAACCACTCCCACCTCTACCTTTTTAGACTCCATCTTTTTCTTTAGTGTCTGACTCTTTTGCCTTTCAGGGGTCCTTTTTTCCCATACGCCATGTCAGCAGCAATTCCCAACCCCAAGAGTGATCTCCTCATATTTTGCAATCAATTCCCAGTTGTTTCTGAACAGCTGTGTGCTGCAGCCTCGGTCTTTTAATCCAGATCCTGGTAAAATTTTAGAACAGTTAATTCTCTTCTTGCTGTCTCTTCACAGCAAGCAGTAGTAGCTCTGCAGGCTACACATCCTGAAAGAGCTTGAAGGGACACCTTTTGTACAGGTGCAGAAGGAAGAGAGATGTGCTCCAGCTGCCCTCACACAGGACTTATGTGCACGAAGTGCCAATGGTTCCATTGGTTACCCCAACCACAGGTCAGATCCAGACTGTGACATGTATGCTTCAGATCAGGAAACCTTGAAAGTACTGACTGTCAGGAGCCCTGCCAGAAGCAGGACAGTCAGCCACTGTAAAGCCACCTTCTTGTTCTTACTTGTAGGAACTACTGTCAGGGTTCAAATAAAAAAAAAACATTCAGCTGCAGAACATGAAATACATTTGGTTTATTTCTTTCTAAAGTTTGTACATATACATATATCATTATACATATGTGAGATCCTTCAATAGGGTTGCTTGAGTTCAGTGACATAAAAATTATTGGGAAGCTTGCAGGCTCTTTGTTGCCCGTAAGCAACATTTATTCCAACTTATAAAAACACAGAGGAACAGAGTTATAGTCAGGAACATGGACACAAGAGAGAAGTCTACTTTATATCTCACAGTTTCAATACATCAAAGGCAAATTATTTATCTGTATACTGTAGGCTTACTTTATCAGCAATGATAAAATAGAGGAAAATATTTATATACAGTCACCTCAAGTGAAAAATAAAGCAATGTAAACTTAAATTCCAAAATATTATTTTAAATGATATAACAATATCCCCAAAAGTCCTTCTTCCAAGGGGAAGAGGACTGATTAAGTGCCTTCATTTATCAGGAAATGATCATTCTAGTACCAGATACATGAAGCAGAATAAGGGAGGGCATCCTGTGATACCTGTAGAAAAGAGTGACAACTCTGCTTCAGGAAAGCATCTCTGTGTAAGGAAGTATATGTTTGAGTCCTTATGGACATCAGCAGCACATGGAAAAATCTCCCCTGAACCAGGGCTTTACTTAAGTCTGCACAGCTCTGACTCCAACCACCCAGTATGCTTTTCTGGCCATGCCTATTCCCAGGGACAAAATAGGGTGTCCTGGTGGTAGGACAGCATCAAACCTGAGATGATGACTTCCTCAAGAGTCAGAACAGCAAGTTCCATGCTGCTGGAAAAGATTTAATGGCTACCTCAATGTTGTTGCTTCACAGCAGAACCACAAAACGATGAGACTGGAACTGTGTCTTTAGTGTATTACATGAAAAACACTCCAGCAGTTCAGTGATGAGAGTAAACTGAATTCAAGATTACCAGAAAGAAGGCTCCTACACATCACAAAAGCGATAGGAGACCACCCAAGGAAAGGTCTTGCAAGGACTGCTGTCAAGCCCTGTAAGGTTAGTTCTGCACACAAGAGATGTATGTATAAGGTGTATGTACACGCATGTGCAAAATGTTTTTCTGTACTACCACTGCTGAGAGCTATGCTTGCCATATGGCTACCAAGCAACATTGACTGAAAATTCAGTTCTCTTTCTCAGCCTAAGGGAAAACAACATAGCAATAGCTCAGGTGGAGGGTAAATGATACTTCTTAACTGTGACTCTGAAACTGACAGTGCTCACCCACATCTTCCCATCACCGTGGAGGGCAGGAAACTCAAGGGAGAAGCCCAGTACCAGATAAAAGATTACAGGACTACAGCTTGCCCAAAGCAAGGTGACAGAGTGTTCCCCTTCATTTCATTCTGACCTGCAGTTCACTTGCGTCTCAGTTCTGAAAGACACAATCATTCTGGCTGTGGTCCAGTGAAGTGCAAAGGCATAGTTTCACTGAAGCTGCTCAAGTGCTTCAACCTAACTGCATGATAAAGAGGTTTATGACTCCAGGTAAGAATCAGACGCTCAGGTTTTGCTCTCTCTTTCCAAGAATAATGCAGATCATACTACTGTTGCCCTTACTAGAGCGCAATAGGAAAACCCACTGCGTTTCCCTATGTCTTTTTCCTCAGACCAGCAAGTTGTTAAAAGTTTGTTTAATGCTCCCAAGATATGAGATGCCCAAGAGAGATACTTCAGCCCTGCTGCTCTTCTTTTCCCTGCTGATGAGCCACTCTTCAGGAAATTTGTACAGTTGCAGAAAAGAAAAAACCCTCAGTACTGCCGTACGGCTGTATCTGCAGGAGACATCACAGGCACCTGTCCTTCTTGGACACTTTGGACATGATGTCCCTTTGCTGAATTTTCACAGAGCAAGGTCAACGTTTTCAGAAGTAAAGCTGTGTATTAGATCCCCAGAGCATGATTTTCAGAAGTCAGCGTGGATGCTCCTTGTACAGGCATCAGCTGATATAAACAGGGAGAAAGTCAGCCCAGTGTTAAGCTAGCAGAAAATTCCACCCACTAACTCTTGCTTAGACTCTCAAATATATGCCTTGCTTTCAACATGCAGAACAACAGGCAGCCCCTGGTGGACAACACATGAAGATCAAAGGCAGCTCAAAGTACACCTTAAATCTGCAAAAGCTCTGATAGCTGTTTAACCTCATTTGAGAACAATCAGAAGAAGTATCCTAACAATGTTTGTAGCTGCAGAAGTGCTTTTACCAAATAAGTGTCAGAAAAGAACACCAGGCTTTGCAGTGCTGAGCCACAGAAGCCATAATACACCTAAAAATACACACATCTATAGGCATCACTTAAACATGTTCACGAAGTAATGTAAGCCTTAGAGTGCACCTCAGACAGAGGAGTGATTTTAAAGTTTTTAAACAGCCAAAAAACTCTGTCCTTTTAGCCAAATTATAATTCTAGACTCAAGTAAGAGGACACAGTTGTCATGAATATGTACAAAATTTAAAAAAACCCAACCACAACCCACCCCTGTTCTCATCCTACAGTCTTTCAGAATCTGACAGCTCTGAGCATGAGGTTTTCATAAGTGTGTGAGTTAAGACTTATATTACCAGTAGAGTTTGCCCTGTGTGGTGACACAGACTCAATAGCATTTATCTATCTCACTCTTCCCAGCAAGAGGCTAAGGGGAGTTGGAGGATTTTGTGTCAAACAAGTCTCTAGAGCAGCTTAGCCAGCTGTCCTGTCACTACACCATGATACTAAAATGGCCCATGCTGAAACCTCACCTGTTTAGACAAAAAGTATCTGCTTGTCCTCGTGTCATTTAGGCGAGTTACAGACATGATCACTGCTAGAGTGGCTACTAATTACAGTGGTTTCTGTCAGAGAAAAATTCTGCCCTTGTGGCTGGTTGCACTTTCAATGCTTGCATTGCTAAGTGATACACCTTTATTGGTCCAAATAAACCTCTGGCCTGTACTCCAGCTGGTTCCTGGCCCAGATTTAAAAGCAGATGCCGTGGGAGGTCCCTCATTGATTAAACATCTATAATTTTTATGGAATAATTAAGCGTTCAAAGGTGGGGAAGAGAGAACACTTTGGACTAGCCTAAATTTGCTCCTTCTGACCACAAGGGCAAAGTAAGGTCAATGGTCCAAACCTTTGGGAAAGTTCTTGCTTGAATTTGGTAAGTGATGGGCTCTAATCAATAACTAAAACACAACCTTAATGCAGCTAAAAAATGTATCAGCAAGGGACATTCTCTCAGGCAAGGCTGGGCCTGCCTCCTTTCAGTGTTCAACTGGATATTGCCATCAGCAGAGCAGATACTCACAGATGCCATTAAGACTTTTTCCAAGGACCTGTCCTCCTTGCTCTCATGTAAACCAGTATCCTCACAAATGGACTGCAGTAACTCTGGATGCTGCTGTAACAAGGGAGAAAAGCAGTGGGTGGTAAGGACAGCTCCTCCAGCAGCACAGACTAGAGGGAAAAGGAAGCCAGTTTCTCATTATCCCTAGCACTGAAGGCAATGCTAGAGCTCACAGTCTCCAGCAGGTGACCAGCCATGGAGGGTGGCACTGGCTTCTTCCTACAGCATCATTTTCCTGTGCTCAGCTCTGGTGGTACCGTTTCTCTGAAGGCTGATAAAGCCTCTTCTTCCTGGAGCTCAGGTCTCCACAGTGAAGCTCCAGGTGAAGCAGCTCACTATGCTACACCTATGCTGCTGGAAGAGCTCTGGGAGAGACAGAGGCCAGACGTACTGCTTCTGGATGCACTAAAAATATCCTTTAAAAAGCACAAGCTGCAGACTAGCTCTTTCTGAGACAGCTTCTATGGTTCATCCCTCTAGGCAGCCCAGATAGCAGATGCTGAGAACACATGCTGAGGAGCAATGATTGTGCTCTGACGACAAATGTGGACTTTTTAACTGCCCCGGGTGCTTGACATAAGATGTGTATACTGCCTTTGACCCTGCAGAAGCAGCCAGTGTTTCCAACAACCTGGATACCAGAAGAGTAGGAATGTTGCAAGTGTCTGGTCTAAGTGTAGGAGGAGGGACTTTGCATCCCTGCAGCATACAACTAGAGGATCACGGCAGTCTAAAACTCGGTCTCGCACCTCCCAGCTATAACTGTGGCTGGAAACACAGGCTACCGATAAGCAGAGCGAAAAAGCTGTTCACAGGGTTATCCATTCAATGCAGCACTGCTTCAGAGCAAGTTTTCTCAATGCAAGACGGGAGAGTCAAATTTTCTGGATTTCTGCAAGCATGAAAGGAAACAGACCTGTTATACAGAAGCAGCTGAGGTGCTAAGATGACAGACAAGAGCAGCTTGTCAGAAAAGGAGGAGGAGCTGTCAGACTAACTGCAATAAGACCAAAATTCATTTAGAAATGGAGAATGCAGACACAGTAAGCAGTATGCCATCTGCAGAGAAAAGCCCTTCCCACTTTCAAGGAGAATATTGCCATGCAATGCCTCCAAGAAGCCTGATGATAACCTTGTCATTTCTGACTTCCTTCACTGCCATAACCATGTCTTCACTGAATGGCCTGCTCTAGTCAAGCAAGAACCTCATTTCCCCCACTGGAAAAAGGCAAAAGTTTTGGCTTTTTCAAGTCAGAAGAGCGATCAGCCTTGTTGTCCAAAGGCATTGGTGCTGTGAAAAGTCACTGAATAATTCCAGTCCCTGGAGGTCTGCTAGGCGAAACTCCTCCTCAAAGCAGGGCTATGCAGAGCACGGCTGTCCAGGACAGCCCCTTAACATGGACACACTGGAATCTGGGAGCAGACAGGATCAGAGGGAAAGTATTTTAGTGATGAGCTGTTACTAATCATTAGAAAGTTTCTGGTAACTATTTACAAGTGACTGGCTACGATGAAAAACTCTTGAGTCGGCAACACAGCTGAATAGCATTCCAGCACAACTCTGCTGCATTAATCACTCTGCTGGCTGACTTACCTCCCTACATCAATTAAAGACACAACATAAATACTGGATTTAGAAGCTGTAGTCATGTTCACTGGTTCATGCGTAATTTATCTGCAAGATGCAGACAAACACACAGCCAGTACAGGGAGTCTCTTTCACAGCTGCTGATGAACAAAAACCATCTCAACCAGTCCTCTGCATCCTGCTGACTCATAAAGGAGAGTGTGGTTTTGGCTTCAGAAGAGTATCTCACCCTCTTTGGCTGCTGGGTGGGGAGAGGGGAAAGCAATCTTCCCCTTCTCCATCAGCTCTCTGCTGTCAGGTGCAGACTAGTGGAGACCTTTCCTGTCTCTCATTCCTTAGCTGGGGATATCAGAGGGTCCAGCTCCTAGAGGATGAGTAAGCCAGCAACACATCGAAGCAGGGTGGGTCCCTCTGCACCTTAAGAAAGGGGAAGCAAGGAGGTGTTGGCCCCAGCCTGCTCCACTCTTTGCATCCCCACTCTCTACATGCAGGCAGAGGCTTTGCCTGAGCAATGATAGCACACTGGAGCAGGGAGGGTGACAAGGAAGGATGACACCTCCCTGCGTCACCAATGCAAAGGATCTCCAGCATGCACACATGCTCGTGGAAGCCAGCCAGTAACTCCTGCTTGCACTGAGCACACCCAGAAAACTGCAGACTGCTCCAGTGATTTGCAGCTCAAGTCCCTGAGGAGGGCTTGAAAACAGCAGAATATCCTTACATACTGCGAACAGAGCTCCTGAGTCGCTGCAGTCAAGCAGTGCTCTCCCCTAAAGGCAAACATTTCAGCAAAGAAAGGTAGGGTGCAGGGTACCATGCAAAGCTACTCAAGGAGATGCACCACTTAAGACTGCCTGAGAACCTGTCCCACCCTTTATAGTATCATCAGGAGGGAAAAAAACAAATTACAGTACTGATTGGTAGATGAACCTATTCCCAAGGGTGGGCAGAAGCCTTAGACTTTCACAATGGGATCACATTTTTTTCTTGGTCTCAAAAGCGTGCATTTCTACATGGGTGCCTGGGATGCTTATAGATTATAAAGTAATAGGGGAAAAGGGCACCAATTAAAACTGCTGCAGAAACCATACATTCTGAGTAAACTAATCTGCGTGTCTCAGCAGTCTCAGCAAGACTGCTCTAAGCTCGACAAACATTTAATGACTAAAAAATGCAGTGAAAAACTGCATTTGATACGTTCAGATGAGACCTAAAAAAAATAACTTAATCCGTTTACAAGTATACATGGAAATAGATAATAAATAATGAAAAAAACATATTTTTGCAGTTAACTTTTTGATTTTTCCTATTGCTTCAAATCATCTTTCTGCAACGACTTTGAAGAGGAATTACCCAGTTTCTATGTCAAACCCAGAAAATGCATTTAACAGGAGTAATTTCTTCTTGAGCTCAGCAATTTAACTGGAATTTTCAGCAACCAAAATATGTTAAAAATCCAGAGAAGAAGAAAGTTAAATGTCACCTCTTTGCCTTTTGAAGTACTGCACTCCATAAACACAAGAGGTTTGCCAAGCATGTTCTAGCCTTCCTTCAAAAGGATCACCCAGTCAACCTAACCCTGACAGCCAAGCAGGGCCATTTACAGAACTGCACCTTTTCTGGGTTTTCTGTCTGCTGCATGTATCGTATTGTTATATAAAATAATGTACTGGTTCAGGCTAGGATGGGATTAATTTCTGCAGTAGCCAGGCAGGGGCCTTGGACTTGAAGGTTACTCTATATCACCTCATGTCATTTTCTAGGAATAGGGGAAGATATCCCTTCTGGGTCAGGGTATTGGGAAGTGAGTGTTTGGGTATTGTTGGGTTCTGCATGGTGAGCATTCTTGAATACTGTTATTAATACCTTTGTTGTTTACCATTCATTTTCTGATCTCATTACCATTTCCAGTAAATTGTTGTTATCTCAACCGATGATCTTTGCCTTTTATGCCTTCAATTCTTCTCTCCAGCCCACTGCAAGGATGGGGAAGGGAAGGAGGGAGCAAGCAAGGACCATGAAGTTTGGAGAGTCTCAGTGGGAACACTGAACTGGGGAATACCACTCCTTAATCGTAACAAAGAGGTCGAGTTTTCTTCCCAAACATGCATTCAGCATTCCCCAATTGAATTTCTTCTCTCTGTTCTGCTTGTTCAATTTCGACCACCAAAGCATGACAAACAGCTGCAGGAATCTATCTTTGTTTCCCAAGAACTGTTGATCTACCTCTCTTAACTATGCCAAACAATCCCTCCCAATAAGCACTATCATGCATCTCTCTACACTGAGTCTCCCCAAGCAATAAGCTGCACCACATTACTTTGGCTCCAGCAGCAGAAGACATTTCTCTTCTTCAAGAAGAGAACTAAATGTTAACTTCACCTTAGTAGGAATGCACAAATTCTAAAGCCCCAGCACTTGGGAAGCACTGCCAATTTCTAGTCAGGAATCTACAACTTTTAGCAACATTGCCAAGGTTAGAAGCCAACCTCCTGACTTTTAGCACAGAGCGGCCACTCTCAGTGGCAGATGCCAGATGGATGCGCATCCCAACATCACTCATGAGAACAGTCTCATCTGGTTTTGCTGTCAGGCTGCAGCTGCAAGGATCAATTTGCCCCAAAACCTCACATCTGAGAGTGCAACATCGTTACAGCCAACCGTCAGCACAATACCAGGAAAGCTGTTGCATGGTGGTACTCGGTAGGGGAGGTAAGTCATGGAGTGCCTGTTAAAGGCCTTTTCTCTTTGATTATTCCCAGTTTTGCCCACTGGACTGACAGCTCAATAAACTAGATGAATTGACTTGGACCCTTGGGAAGCCTGACAGAACACATATCCACTCAGGTAGCAATTTTTTTGATGTGTGGCTCTTTGACTACTTGGGCTGAAAACACCAGTGCATTTCTAAACAGTCCTTGCATTGATCTTGACATTTCTATATGCATTAAGAATCGCATTCATCAGGAAGGCTGTCTTGTGCCAGGCACAACAGAATGAATAGCAAGGAGCAATTTTCAACTGGATCTCAACATTATCTCCCAAGGCGCTCTGTGGGAAAGGCCAGTTTGGTTGTACTATTTCATATAGGGAAAGGGCGACACAAAATGGGAGAGACCTGTCCAAGCTCACCCTGTGGGCCAGTGTAAAAACTGAGATTAAAACTCAGGTAACAGGTTAAGTAACAGGAGAGGCAGCACTCTCTGTAGAGCCATGACACTGCCCAGACAAGAGGGGCTGCGAAGCAGGAAAATTATGTCATCTTTCTGCTCTCTGTGCCTGAAAACTGCTGGCCATCCCAAGGGCCTATGGCACAAACAAGGGCCTTTCAGGTATGAAAAGATCTACCCATGGTGGTCTCTCCCAGTCCTGTGCTCCCCTTGGAAAGCCTGGCACAGGTATGAAGGAACTGTGAGGAGGCACCAGCCTCTTCCACCTGTATGTGAGCTAAAGAAGGAAAATGGAGAACTGAGGAGAAACCCTTTCTGAATAAAAAAGGCAAAGTGCTTTGTCACTATGAGAGGAATTGAAAGCAGTTCTCTGTGCACACCAACAAGGAAACCCGTGGAAGGGAAAGCAACAGGACACAATATATCATAAGGCTCTATATAGCAGCTAAGTGAGAGCGTATAGTTAAAAACTACACAGAGGCCCTTTGTCTTTAATATATATAATCAATATATAATGCTAATGGCTGACATCTACAGCAGCCTTCTCTGCAAATAAACGTGAATCCCAGATAGCCATTCCAACTGGGTAATCGCTAATCTTCCTGACTGCAGAGACAGCATGGGTTTGGATGCCTTCCAGCCTGCAAATTCAGGAGAAGGCTCTCTGCTTGGAAGGAAGCAAACAAATTATTCCAATGCCATCATCCCAGCATTGCCAGAGGTTTCCAGGTTTCATTTCTTTGCACTCATGTGTCCAGGGTCAATGCAGTAACAATAAGCAACAGTGACTATTTACTGTACCACCTGCTGCTAAGTACCAGTACCAACATGCCCCACATTGTCAGGAAACTAGTGTTCCCAGCATCCTAGCCTCTAGTCAGCCTTCTGCAGCTGCATGTTTGCACAGTTCGAACAGCTACAACTTATATTCACAGCACTGCAGCACTTGTCCAGTTATTTTTCCCACCCACCACGTTAATAAAGTGACAAGTGACTTGAGAGATGAAAGCCACATGCCGATGGGAGGAGATAAATGGGGAGGAGACAGAATAAACGTCACAGCGCTCTACCCCTTCCCCAGCTCCTTTAGAAACAGAACAACACAAAAAAGTCCCGATGCTTCAACTGCTAAATGATAAATTAACAAAGCAAAGCAAAGCAGGAGCAAAGACATCTCCCACAATCTGCACAGAAACAGCAAAATATACAATAGAAAATGTCACTAACACCCCATTCAGGCAGATGCACTTATTTTTTGTGAATGACAGATTATTAAATGAAAAAATTTTGACCACCGATACTTTGCTGCATGGCTGTTCCTCTAGTTGTCATTTCCACCCTAAGTGACCTTCTGCTTAATGCTGGGTGTTTCTGGCCTGTAGTCCTTCCTCTCTGAGACATTGCGTTTCACCTTGGCGCTAACTGGAGACTCCTGATTCAAAGAAGGACTTGAGTGGGATTTCTTCAGTCCTGATGCATCGTTCTCTCCTCCGCTCAGCAGCTCCTTCACCCCTTCTTTCAGGAGGCCAACATAGATCTCATAGCGATTTTTCTGGGAAATGAAAAGAAAGGCCCAAATCAGTCTGGAAGAAATTCTGCAGGGACACATGAGACCACTTAAGTAACTTAATGCTTTCTGCTGGCCTTGAAAGCCAGGAGCTCAACACATATGCGAACAATGGTGCCTAATGTGGATATGAATAACAGTAGCTCACGTAAATTAAACAAAGAGGATTTCAGGCAGACCGAGGCCTGGGGTGCAGTGTCATTAGAGGCACTCAGTTCTGCAGCACACAAATTCCGATGCTCTGCTGACTGGTGGCTCCCATTCCAAGTAATACCACCAAACAAAAGCTCGCTACCTCACTCATGCTGCGACCTAAGCTGTGCTCACACATACTGAGACCCTTTGTCCTCAGGCATGCATGGAGATGAAGTGCACTAAACTAAGGGACAACAAAAATCCTGCTCTCTCACCAGCAGGCCCTGCTTTTCCTGCTTTTCTTATCCATGTAGGAGAAACCAAAGCAGAGTCTAAGTTCATACTGTACCAACACGGCCACCACTCACCACTCTCACTCAGGCTGGTGACAGAATCTTCTAAAAGGCCAGACCTTAACAAAAAGGAGCAGATGAGAGGGCTATGACAGCAGCGTGGCATGTTCCCTTGCTATGTCACTCACAGGGAATGATGAAGGTTTCTGTCTGTCCAGACACTTATATTTTTCAACTGGAAAAAGTTCCCTTTAATGTACCCCATGGCCATTTGCTCTATTCCTTGTCTGGACCAGAGTTTTCCCTCTTCAACAGGAAGATTTCATTCTGTTTGCTACAATTGCATCATTTTCCGAGAAACAATTCAGCAAGGAAGAAAATGATAGTACAGTAACAGATGATCCCTGAAGGGTCTCAAAAACGGATGTTGGGGCAGGAGGTCCTGAGAACAGAGCAATCCACTTCACAGGAGTGATTTAATAACCTGTCCCTGATATATCCACTAAGGACATGGTGCAGGCATTATAATTACAGCGATCTCAATGTGCTAGGAGTCCGGGATGGTAGATGTAAACATCCGTACTAATTGTTAATTTGTATTTCAAAGTGGCAAAACAGCAGCCAAGCTATTATGTTCCTGACAGAAGAAAAAGTATTTTAAAAATAATTCAGATTTTCTAATAAAACAATAAAATTCTGGTAAAAAACATTTATTTGAGGGCAGGAAGTCAAAAAGCTTGGTAACCACTTTTGAAATGTGGAATATAAAGGGGGAAAAAAAAGAAGAGAACACGACTGGCTTTTGAGAATCCTTTGAATAAACAAACCCTCATAGAGGAGAATCATAACAGAATCCTTCCACAAATTAAATAAATAAGTATTCCTATGACTTCCATATCTGGAGTTGCAGCTCCACAACGTGAGAGACAAACACATGAAGCAGGTAAGATGTGTCATTTAACAAAAATGGAAATTGAGAACTAGCAAAAAGAACCCTGACGATGATGCACTGAGCTGATGGATGATTCATCACAAATGAACCAGACACTTCTGCAAAAGGCCAGCCAGCGCTCTTAGCTTGGGAACAGCTTCATATCATGAAATGGAGAGGGGGGCTTTACTGCTGTATGGATTTATGCTTTTACTGGTCCAATAAATACCACCAGAGTCTCAAGACTCGGCAATCAGACTAGCTATCCAGGACCTGCATGTGTGCAAATGGCCATTTTAACCTGGACTTTGTGGGCCCTTGATTCCTATTATAATTAATCAACACATTTCTACTTTGATTTCAACCACAACAAAGTTGGTCTTTCAATGACCTGACATTTGAAGTTACGTAAAAGCTACTGGAAATTTTGCCTTAAAAAAATAATTTGGAAATTTCTGTTGAGAAATAAAACCACAGAAGTTCAAAACATTCAAAAGCTTCTGTAACATTATCTCTGAAGAATAAATGCACATAATAAAGAAGTATGACATAGCCACACATCAGTATTCTGGCTTCACCTCTCACCTGACAGACTCAAAAGATCCTTCTCTAACAATAAATTTTCAGCAATAAGAAACAAACTTTTTGCAATCTGATGCCATACTTCTTCAAGAGAGCAGGCAATGAAAACTGTCCCTTCCATGGTGTGTGTAAGCAAAGAGACCATCAGAAAAAAATGCTACTGGCTGCATACCTGAACAAGGACCAGTTACCTTCTGGTTCACCTCCCCTCCATCTCATTTATCTTTTCAGGAACAAGAATGGAGGCATCACCAGTGTGTGAACAAAAAGAAATTGTAAGGACTTACAGAAAAGGAAAATGGCATCTTCCTTCCTAATGGTACCATGCTGCTACCTTAGGGACGCACAGGCCCTTTCAGTGTATTTCCCAAGATGCATCAGGACGGCCCCTTGTACACAGACACTAGGTTTAGCCTGCAATCTCAGTCTGAAAGAGACAGTTACAAAATTCTACCTCACTGGCTTCTTGCCCTTTTCATTTAACCTCATGCAGCAAGTTCTTTCACCACCTGCTGCCAGCCCTGACACGACATTGTTCTAAAGGGAAGGTTTCCATACACAAAGCTTCCATTCACAATTTTCATACAGCTCAACATTCAGGTTTGGGTTGGGATTTTTACTGCCTCACAGAATAATATAATAAACTGGGTTGGAAGGAGCCCACAGAGATCATCCAGGCTCAATTCCTGGCCCTGCACAGGACCATCCATAAGAATCACACCATGTGCCTGAGAGCACTGTCCAAATGCTTCTTGAACTCTGTCAGGCTTGCTGCTGTGATCACTTCCCTGGGGAGCCTGTTCAAGTGCCACCTTCTGGGTGACAAAGAAACTCTGTCTCTCTGCAGGGCCTCCTTGCCTTCAAGGGAGTCAACAGCTTCTCCCAGTTCTGTATCATTTGCAAACTTGCTTCATATCCCTTCCAGTCCTGTGTCCAAGTCATTTATGAAGACGTTGAAGAGCACAGGGCTAAGGACAGAGGCCTGTGGAACCCCACCAGTGACAGTGACACCAGTCTGACATCACCCCATTCACTGTAACCCTTTGTGCCTGACACATGAGCCAGCTGCTCACCCATCACATGATGTGTTTATCCAGCTGTGGGCTGGACATTTTCTCCAGAAGGGTCCTGAGAGGGACAGTATCAAAAACTTTATGAAATCAAAAAAGATCATTAAGAAGCATTAAATTGCTTCTGTTGGTCAACAAAGTGGGATATCCCATCATAAAAGGAAATCAGGTTGGACAAGCAAGACTTCCCTCTCATGAAGCTGTGCTGGCTGTGATGATGGCTCCAGTGTCCTCCAGGTGTTTTCCAATACTTCCCAGAATCATTTTCTCTATAATTTTATCAGGCACCAAAGTGATATTGACAGACTCGTAATTTCCAGTGTCATCTTTTTTGCCCTTCTTGAAAACTGGGCAAACACTAGATAGTTTCCAGCCAACTGGGATCTCTCCAGACTGTTCAAATATCATCAAGAGAAGTTTTGTGATGACATCAGACAACTGTTTGATATTTCTTGAATGAATCTCATTAGGCCCCATATATTTGTAGGGATCCAGCTGGAACAGCTGATCTCACACAACTTCAAGCTTAACTGGGAACTGATCATTCTTACAGTCCCCCAGCTCAGGACACTGAGATTCCCTGGTCTGTCATCCATATTGAAGACAGAAGCAAAGACTGCATTAAACTCCTCTGCCTTGTCCACGTCCTTGTTTGTGAGATGACCATGCTCATCTTGTAAGAGGCTGATGTTATTTCTACACTGCCTTTTGCCATTAATATATTTTTTGAAACTCTTTTTATTGTCTCCCACAGTTCTGGCCAGCTGCACCTCCAATTGAGATTTGGCCACATGAATTTTCTTGCTATGATGGTGAGCAGCATCTCTCTCTATATTCCTCCCATGCCACCTGACCTTGCCTCTACTCAGCATAAACGTTCCTTTTTTGCCTTAGCTCCAGAAGAAGATCTTCTGTCTCATCTGTTTGACTTCCAACATTTTGTAATTGCCTGCTTTCATAGCCCTTAGCATGGTGTCTTGATACTTCAACATGGCTTAGAAATTTGTGCTTAGTCTGAAGCTAATACAGCACTGCACACCAGAACCTTGAATTAATATTTCTTCCACATAACTGAAGTTGTTGCCACAACTTTCCTGCTTAGATGAGCATTCCTGCGAAGTTGATCACTTATCTGAACTGCACAACTCAAATGTTGTTCAAGACTCTCAGCAGTGAAGAGGACAACTTTTGTATCCTGGGGGCTATACTGGGTCTGATTTGTACTGAGGTACCTGAGGAATATCTCAAAAGATTACCCTGATAAAATTGACAGGAAACAGAAAAAAAACCCCACAACAATCTGCTCCCCCATCAATCTTTATATAAACGTTTAACAGTCCAGCCTACATTTCTTCCTAATTCACCAAGCTTCTAAAAGCAATAGAAAATAAACTTTGTGTCAAGAACCCAAAGCCAAGAAACTTTTTATCTTCCAAGTTTTTTAAGAGCCCCTCCAGAGAGAAAGTGTGTGGCTTACTCTGTACATCTGAATGCTCTGTTCAAAACTAAGTGACACTGTGCCACTGATCACAACCCTTTGATCTCAATTGTTCAACCAAACCAAGTCACTGTCAATTTGCTAGTCCACTTCATCAGCTTGACTACAAGCAAGTTAGAGGAGACAATGTCAGAATTCTTGGAAAAGTGAAGAACAAACAACATCCACTGCTCTCACCTCATCCATCATACCAAACATCACATTGTAAAAGACTATCATGTTGGTCAGGTTATGATTCCTCCTTCATAAAGCCATGTTGATTGACTTTGCTACAGGAAGTGAAACTCAACACAGTGGTTAAAACCTTCTGCAAAAGCAAAAGTATGCAATGAGTTAAGTCCAGGCGTAAAAAGGGTCCCTCTAACAGAAACTGATAGGCTTGTATCGTGCTGCCTCCAGCATCAGCTCTGGTGGTGTCATCTGTCTTATCTGCTCTTCCTCTTTTTCAGACTAGGTATTTTCCTTGCAAGGCAGTGCCTATTTTGAGCAGGATCCTTTCAGACCCAAGGCAACATTGACTTGCAGTGCTGGGGGAAAAAGCTCAAAGGTGTAGTCATAACAAATACTAGACATCTCCTGGGTTGCCGATTCATTCCCACATAGTCCTAAAATGTGGCAGACACCATTATAGATAAAAGCTGCTGTCAGATATTCAAAACAATCTCCTAATGCTTCTGCCTAAGTTGCATCACTCAACCCTGTGATCATTAATTCTACTGTTTTCTTTCTCATCCTGACATCCATCTCAGTGGTATGCAACACAAACGGCTCTGATGAGGGAGGCATGCCTATGACAATAACTTCAGCATATCAGTTCCTTCAGAACATACCAATGGAAGACAATCACCATGATCTGCATTCCTGCAGAATGCAGTCATTCTTTAGACACTGAGGTTCCAAAACACTAGGCAACACAGTTTAACAACAGGAGACACTTTGTGCACGAAGATCTTATCATCTCTTCAAACAGATACATCCAGAGTCTCATTTCTATCCTCCATGTTACAGATTAGGAGCTAAATTCACAGCTAAGGAAGTTCTCATCAGAAAGAAGAGCCACATCCCAGCATCTGCAATTGCTGTGACTTTTCTGTCTAACAAGAACATACTTCCTAGGGAAATAAAGTGAAAAATGCAGAACTTCAGGACTGTACCCCAAATATAAGATCATCCACACCCAAGAAGTAAAAGTAAAAATGTTTCTCATATATACCTCAAACTCCAGATAGTGGTCCTTCAGTTTGTAATCATCTACTTCCTTGCCTTTGAGCTTCTTGTCAGGAGGATAGGAGCGATGTTCAGCAAGCTCAGTGGAGATCTGTTTCAGCTTAGCTTCATGGGACTTCAGTTGTTCATCCTTCAGAAATATATTAGGCACTTAAGTGACAGAATCTAAAATATCCAATAAGCAAAGAAAAATAGAGAGGTTCCTGTACAATAATACCTCATAGTTTCTTTTTCTTAGATTGGCAAGGTCTGTCATCCCAGAGCACTGCCACCAACAGCACTCTCAAAGGCAGTCGAAGTGGCCAAGCTTGTAGAAAAACTCAGCAGCTAGCAGATGCCACTGGGAAGGAGAGCAAACCTGTCATCCATTGCCTTGCTGTGAGCAACGGAGCAGCTTGCTGCCGAGCAATACTGACAACATGACACTTTTGCTTTAATACATTTCTTAGTAAATTAATTAAGACTGTTGTGTATGCAGACAAACCAAGGGCAGAATGAGAGAAGCAAAGGTCTTTGCAATGTAAAAGCAGTTCCTTCCAGGACAGAAAAGACATAGAATCAGGGCCTCTCCTTCTACTTCTGCACTGCCAAAAGATCTCTGGTGTGTGGTTTCTATTTGTTCAGAACAACACAATACATTCACAAGAGGAAGGGCTGTCCAGTCCCTGAAAAGGATTTCGTTTTGCTAAGCTGTTACCAGCTTTTATCCCACTGTGCAGTTGGAGTAAGTGAGGAGCTGCTACTCCCACTTTCTAGGCAATTTCCTTTATCATAATCCCAGGCCCACTCACTTCCTCCAGTCCATCTGTTAGCTAACCTTCCTGCATCTCAGAAGGTTTCCATCTCCTGCAGGATGGCCTTCTGTCCATTTCTAGGCTTGGATCTGAAATTATGTTTGAATCAGGTAAGTCCAAAATAAGACACATGATCATGCAGATATTGGTGAATTAGCCAAGAGGTAGTACCCAGGTCAGCTCCTGTGTAGGCACCTCTCCTCAGAGGAGGGAACAGCTGCCAGTGTTGTCCCTCAGTGATGTGGTTCTGAGCCCAGCCCACAGCTCAGATGAAGCCTCAAATCTAACTCATACAAGCCTGCACTGCACTGAGTCACACTGGGGACTCAGCCTCTTGGATTGCTGAGCTGGAGCTGTGGAAAACAGCAGAAAGGGGGAAAACTTCTACAGATGATGATAGCTAAGCCCCAGCTAATCTTGTGTTTCAACTTTTTTGCGGGAGAACTGAAGAAAGAAACATGTGGGATAATTTGCCTCCACCTAAATATGGTATGGCTGAAATCACTTGCTGATGATTGCCAAAAACTCATGTTGCTGTTAGTTACTCCCCTAAATGTACATGCTTTCTCATTAGTGTCCAAACACTCTTTGCACTGTGCTGATTCCCTGGCCCCATGGACATCCTGTGGTAGTGAGTTCTATAGACAGACGACACGAGGTCTTTGAACAGCTATTAATACAGTATTTGTCATTTCCAGGGCATCAGCTTTGGAGCTTTTGTCTGTGCTGCGCATTCTCAGGAAAAAAAAACCAAACCAAACAAGCAAAAAAAAACCCCACAACAAAAGCAAACAAACAAAAAAACCAACTAAAAAATAAAACCAAAAACCAACACCCTGGTAAATCTTTTCTAGACTGGTTGTTCCTTTATATATAGCTTTGTCACATCTCTCTTTAGCTGGACTAACCAAGATCAGACACTGCTCTGCTTTTGGACGAAAATCTGGTACAATAATACAATAATCTTGCACAACCTGTCATCATGTCCATCCTCTCTTCCTTACTCATGTTAGGTCCTCACTGCACCCTGACTTCTGGCTGAACAGGAACAGACCCTTTGAAGAAGTAGTGTCCATCATAATTCATCCCACAAAATCCTAAACATCAACCACAGGGATTTGACAATTTGTATATTTTTTAGTCTGCCAAATTTGAAACAGCCTGCTGTCAGCTCTTCCACACTGACAGATGAAAGCAGACATGTTTCTGCTTGCCTTTGAATTTATCCACTTTGAACACTTAACATTATTCTGCTTGTCTAAACCAGCTTATCTTATTCTACTTTTTGTGTCTCTCCTTCTTCAAGATACAAAGCACAGGGTTGTGATCTATCTTTTCTCTTTCCAGATTAAATAGAAACAATGAGACTAGGAAACAACGTGCTAAATGGAACAATCGCACAGAACAACAGTGAGTAAAAAACGTTCCTTTGGTGACCAGCAGTAAATTATGGAAGCCCCATACTGTATTTTTAAAATGGTATGCTATGAGCAAAAAGTAAAACCACAAGGATGAGACGAGTTAGTATTATTTTTTTACATAACATGCTTTAAACTTTAACCCAGAACAGTATATGGTAAGTCAGTCGCCACACAGTAAGAAGAAAGACCGCTGTCATGGAGAAAGAAAAAGCAGGGTCAACCCACACCCTTAGAGAAACACAGATTTTGAGACAGTGGTTTCTAAGGACAGTTGCTAAGCTATGAAGATGGTAAAAAAAAAAGCCCAACAAGTGCATTTAAGAAGCAATCCAGCATGGGCAGATTACTTTAAAAACCACAGGAAGATGTTATGAAGTATAACCTCTGTCACTCTGTCAATCTGATCAACACAATCAGTATCATGTTCCTGCCAATGCAAGAGGAATTCCAGGCAGGCATTGCATTTTCCAAAGTACAAAAAAGCTATGGGCACAAGCATCTGATACAGCCAGTCTGAGACAAGCACAAATATGTGTCTTTGTGCAAGAAGCAGTGGAGCTGTGAAACTCCCTGCCATGGGATGCTAAAAGCTTGTGTGATCACAAGAGAGACTAAGACATTCATGTAAGACACAGTCTATAAATATATATTATACAGGAAATCCCTGAGATGATAAATGGGGAAAATCTGGAAAATCTAGTGGGAGAAATATAATTGATGCTTGTCTGATGCATCAGCTTTCACCTTTTATCAATTTAATAAGCCAAAGACCAGGAGTATGTCTACTTCTTCTGAAATGAGTGGCTTTCATAAACATCCATATTAAAAAAAAACCCCATCAATCAGTATTGGAAATGTCCTCTGCAGGGCCATAAGCACAAGAAGAAAATTCTTTATCTGGTACTATTTTCTTCAAAAACATAAACCAATTGTATTTGAGTCTATTCCTTTTCTCCCCGCACTTCAAATCTTGCATGAGAAAATGAGCAGAGATTTACTATGCACTTGCACTGCTACTGGCAACAGCTATAAAACAGTGACAAGGACCACCACCCAGTCTCCAGCCAGAAAGAGAAATCATCATCATATACCCTCTATATAAAAATGTCTCACCTGAGATAGTTTTGTTGTGGTGGCTGGCAGGAGTGGGCGACTGAACTTCTTCTGAGAGCCAATGGCTGCTGGAAATGGTGGTGCAGAGAAGACAGCAGCCACACAGTTAATCTTGTTGATCCAGGTCTGCATTTCTTCTTGGCTCCTGAGGAAGCAACACATATCAAGCACTTGGCTCAGCCTCTTGTACCTCTTTCCATCCTTTCTATAGCATTTTAAAAGTCAGAATAACCAGAACTGGACAAGTCTTGGAGTCTGCTCTGTCTTCCTGCCTATGCTTGTGAGCAGTTAGTGCTAAGTAACTCAGTCACAGGCTGGCTTGTGATTAGGTCCATACCTCACCCTAGCACACATCTTTTCCTAATCCAATCCCAATAACACAGGTGACAGGGCCAACTAATGCCCTGATTCGGATGTATGTCCTAAGGTCTTGGTTGTGCTGGACACCACTGATCTCAGTATGGATCTACTGATCTCTGTAGAAAAGGGCTCAGAAGGAAAAGGCAGGTCATCTGTTCTGTCTGGATATCACAGCATGAAAAACTTAATCAAATCATTCTTGTATTAAGTAGTAACTTTATTTCTAACCACAGCATATCTTATAGAAAGACATCCGGCTAGGACCTGATGACATCAGGAGACAGACAATCCAAGACTGCCTTTGGTCATTTGCTTCAATGATTAATCACCCTGACTGTTACAAGTTTGTGCCTTTTTTCCAAATTCAATTTCCTGGAGCTTCAGCTTCTAGCTGCTCCATCTTGTTATACCTCTCTCAGCTAGATTAAAAAGCCTCTTAAAACCTGATGTTTCTTTCTTATGTACTACTTGTACACTCTAATCACATCACTACTTAATCTGATTTCTGATCAAACAAACAGATTGAACCTATTTAAACCTTTGTTTTAACCAAGAATTTACTCCTCCTTCAGCACTGCTTTCTTTCCTCAATGAGTGGCATGAGGAGAGCACTTACTGGGCTTGGAAAAGCAGGACTCTCCAATCTGCTGTTTTAAGCTTGAGGACATTGGGTTTCTTCTCATAGTCTGTTGCCTTGGATGCCAGAGCATGGTGCACACTAACTGCATTCTTCAGATCTTCCTCTGACAAAGCCTTTTCTGGCTTATATTCATCCTGAAGGAGATAACGGGGAAGATGGCATTTTATTTCTGCATGTGCTATTCCTTTTCCCTTGGCCTAGGGAAAAAACTTGTTCCAGAGTTCAGAAATAGTAATAAAGTATACGAACTAAGTGCAACCTGACTTGCACACTTGTGGTTTCCACTACCTTTTTCCTGTTTTCCACTACCTGTTTTCCTTTCTCTTCCTTTCTCTGTTTTGATGTCTTTCCAAGGGAGGGGATAGTTCCACTACATACTTGAGAGGAAGAGATGTAAGCAGGAAGTATTTGACTATGAAAACAGCTGTGGATTATTTGTCTTCATTTCAAGAATCCTTCATAATCAGCTCCCCACCTCCACTGCTCAGCTACTTGGGTACTCAGCCTTTACTACCTGATTTTTTCGCAACCAATTACCTTTGTAGGTGCTCCTATGCAAGCCCTGACACACTGCAGAAGCCTCATTACCAGTGCCCACAAAGCAAATTACAAAGCAAACTCCCTTAAATCTCTCTGATGGGGATCTACAAATGGCAAGAATAGCTCTATCTGGGTTTCTGACCACTCCTAACACCAGATGACAAAACCAGGGACTCTTGTTTTGCAAGCATCAGCCTGGAAGCAGTCTTTGATCTCCTGAGTGACAGAAGCTGGAAAAGGGCATAATGTAGCCACAAGTTCCATCCAAAGTCCACCTGACTATAAATGGCTTGGGAAAACCAGGAGCTTTTTGGAAGAAAAGTGATTTGCCAGCAAGGCTGCATCACTGTTTCTGAAAGGCAGGCCAAAGCAGTCCATAACTGACTCCATTTCTCCCCCTTACTGTATCAGAGAAATCAGTCTCACCTGGAATATGCACCAATGGGGACGGCTGCAAAGCAGTGAAATAACTCCCTGCAGGCATGGTAACTAATGATCCTGCACTTGAACACAATTTACAAGATGAGGTTTAGCAGGAAACACAGTGCAGGATGCAGAGTGTGTGCAAGGACAGCACTAGCTTCAACATCCAGGGAAGCAGCCACCTGAGAGAAGAGCTGGTTAATGTGCATGAATTCATTAACAGAATTTCTATGGCAGCACACCAAACAGGATTGCAGCCAGAGGGATCTACACCACTGCCAAAGCTACCTGTGCTTTCTGCCAGGCTGAGCTAGAGCTCTCTGGGATGAGTTTCAGTGCATGGGCAGACACCAGCTGCAGTGACCACCTCTTGGAAGGTGGGAGAAAACATCTTCCTCCTCTGCCATGTCTCATCCATTCTGATGGGAGGTTCTGCTAGTGCAGGCCCACAACTTGCTACACTGCTGCTTAACCTGAGAAGAGGCAGCTACCCAGCAGCCCTGCCACACCACCACCTCCATCTGGAGCTAGATAAGGGCACAACCAACCATGGGTCTGGCAGGCCCAGCAGAAAGGCAGAGCATTACTGCACAGGTGACCAAAGGGCAGCCTCCAGCCTAAAGACCTGTGACATAAGGGGTTTTCAAGGGCAGGCAGTGAGCAAAGCCAAATGTTCCTTCCTCTCTCATAATTTGAGACTCAGTAAGATTTAGAGGCATCTGTCTATCTTGAAGGATTTTGCCTATGCCCACTAAGGGCATTCTTTAAACCTTTTTCAAGGAAGTCCAGCACACCCTGTCTTGAAGATGGAGGAGGAAAGGCCTCAGGTCAAGCCCCTTCCTTTAAGGGTTCACAAGCTGATTTATCTGGTGGTAGTTTCGGGGGGAAATGAGTGGCTCCATTGTCCAGGAAGACTGGGAAAACCTCAGAGCCAGGAAACGAACTTAGACAGGCCTCAGACATATGATATTCTATCTTACCTTGTATTACTGCCTAGAGACAGTGTCAGCTATCACTTAGCTTGTTGCCTCCTAGTTTCCTCTGTGAGTAGCATCCGATGTCTACAACCTGCTCTGGTGACTAAACCTGTTTCAGAAGAAGTCCACATTTGTGCAGTCCCAGAAAAAGCCCTGGCTGATAACCTCTCCTTTCTAACAGAAAGCATTCATGGCAATCCTTGTTAATCCCACCAGATCAGTTGGCTGCAATCTACCTTGACAGCTGGGGCTCTGCTAGCTTCTCCAAAGGCACTGATCAGCATACCGGAAATGTCTCCACGTAGTTTGCCAGCCCTGGAGAAAGCTGTAAGGACATGAATGTGCTGCCAAAATTCCTTCTCCAAGGCCTTCAACTCTTTTTGACTGGTAGGGAATGCTAGTGAATCCATTTTCGCCTAAGCCATCAAGGACAGCATGTGCTATGCTGTGCTGGTGTCAGTGTGCAGGTTCAGCTGAAACGGAAGGCAGCTCTCTAAAGTTAGCTCTCTAGACAGTGGCAAGAAATATGTATGGAGCCAGAAAGGAACTGTGATCTGTCTGTCAGCTGAAGGCTGATGTGAGTGCTTCATACAATGCAATGGCATACTGAATAAATCTTTCTCAAGCTTCTGGAGAACGACTTTTTCACATCCTGATGACCCAGAGTCAGCGTATTTCTAAATACATTTTTGGTAAGCCAGAGAATGACATTTGTCTTTTCTTATCAGTCACTGTACCATGGATGGATATCTCCATGCAGCTGCATGTGATGGCTGCAAAATTCTCTGTCAGAAAGTCTCACCATGAAACACTTTACATCAGTCTGGCCTTTCTATATTTTTTTTTTAATTTTTAACAGGAAATTTGAGAAAATTCATTTAAAAATACCCAAAGCATGCGAGATTATAAAGTGCCACGTCAAAGACCAAAGATGTTGCTAACCTCGCAGACGAGTCCAAACAAAACACGAGGGTTTGTGTCCTGCACTGTTTGCCCAGAAGCAATTTCTGGCAAGGAAGTGAGGTTAGCCTTATGTCCTCCCCTTATAAGCTTTTCTTGTGTATGCACATCACATCCCATGTCAGTCTAGTGAACAGACATTCTGTCAAGCTCCTACTTTGCAATTTCCTCTTGCCATGAACAGAGGGCAGGAAATTAACCTTGGCCTGAGGATGCCCAGAGACACAGCCAACATCCCAAACATGTCAAACTTCTTATTTTATATAATACTGTGCAGGCATGTTTAGTTGGCTAATTGTGAACATTTCCACTGAGTTCCTCCAGTGCTCTCTGTGCTCACTAATTCAGAAACCATTTCTCCTGAATCACTCATTTAAGAACAAAATAATATGCACCACAGGAATTAGCACTGGAATAATTCATTGGGGGAAAAAAAAGTGGGCAGGAAGACTAGGCTGCCCAGAAAAAGTCCTCAGTAAATCTCAAGTGACCGTTTACAAAACACTCTTAAACACAGACTTTGACAGCAAAACAAGGAGAACAGGAATGCAGAGTGACAGAAGAATTGGGATCACACTGCCCACTGGGGGAATCACAGCTGCTATGAAAAATTAATATTTATATTACAATACTGTCTTGAGGGAATAGTTGAGTTACAGATGAATACAGAAAGCAATACTGCAGAGGTTTGTACATGTGTTTGTGTGTATACAGCACCTGTACAGTGAGATTTCTCTCTATCCTGATGAATAGCACTCAGTGCAATGAAACCACCATCACAGATGTAATCTCCACAGATATAGAGAACGAGAGAGAGAGAGAGGACATGCATGTGAATGCATCCTGCCCTACTGCACTCTATAATCAGGAGAGAAGGTGAACAGAGACAAGGCAATCCTTTGACCAGAACTATTGCAAGAACTAAACACTTCTTGCAAAGAAATCAAAGAAACTTCTTGCACTTCTTGCAAAGAAATCAAGCTGTTCTAAAATGCTTCAGTACTTCCTAAAATTAGGATAATTTCAGTCCCTAGTATATTACAGAAGGAAAGAGCAGCTCAGCAATCTTTACTATAACTACTTAGCCCAGCTGTGTATTTTAAACTCTGGCCCTTCACCTTCTATGATGCTACTTCCCTAAAAGAGTAAAGTTTATTTGAGTGCTAAAGGAAAGCCCTCGTGGACCTTCTGAAGCTGAAATCACACATTTTTTCACAGCTGCAGCATGTGGCTGAGCAGCGGTCAGAGGCACCCTGGGGACACTCACAGCCCTGTCACTCTTGGAATGAGGTATTTCTCATCACACCCTTCTCTCAACCTCTCACAGCACAAAAGCAAAAGCCTTGATTGTCAGTGTGCTACAGTAAGATGGCTTCAATGCAATGGAAGCTCCCATGCAAATGGGAGAAAGCAGCTCTGCAAAGTTGTGATTGGTTGACTTGGGAAGAAGAAACTCAAGAGAGAGTTCTCTAGAGAGAACAGGGAGCTTCCTCTGTGGGGGTTGGGACACCTTCAACAGCCAATTGGAGAAAGTTAGTTCGCTCCATGAACACACATTTTGAAGGAGGTAATCCAGAACTGAGGCTCTTTGTCCTTCCGGTGGCTGAGCAGGTAACACCGACCCGAGCTTC